TTATTCAGTTCCGCAATACCAGCATAAGTTACACTCCGGCAGGTTAACGTGACAGACTTATGGTAAAGTTTAAAGCTCACGCTGGTATGATTCTTGGAGCAAAAAACCCGCTTAGCAGCCAAATTAGGCCTAGCCACTGTAATTTACATAGAAGTCGAAATTCTGCCAGACCGACACGCTTGGATAATTAGCATTTAAGAGTGACTTAAAAACATAGTCGAAAGATGTTGTTTACATGTACAAAAGCCACTCGGATTATTCTGTTTTTCTTAGATGGCCTTTTATCAGTCAAACAACAAGCAAGACACATTTCTGTTTATCTCGAGATTACGTGTAAGTAGAATTGAATGCAGAATATGAATAGGGTCCCAGTAAGGTACCTTCTCGTTTTTTTTGGGTCCCAGTGTCTCTAATATTGGAAAGTCATCATATTTTCTGGTTTAGAGCTTGAATTTGATCCCCTCGACGAATAGATGAAAATACGACGCGAAATGGAAGACTCCAGTCATAGCTCCAGGTATAAATCAGCTGGCGGTAAAAAGATTTCCGTAAAATGTGGAAGCACTGAGCCCTCTAGGGTGGCTCTTGGACACCCTTGCCCTAGACACACCAGATCCCAGCCTCCTTTTTTGACATGCCTGTGGTCAGAGCTGGGAAAGCCGTCCTCAGACATGCTTCTGTTCCAGAAAATCTCAAAAAACGTCAGCTGTGCCGTTTCCCTGACTCTTTCCATTTGTAATTACCAGGCCAGTAACAGAATGGCTGCATCAATGCAGGTCTGAAATTCATGCCATATAATTGATAACAAGCGAAACCCAGCCAAATGCAAGGCGGTGAGGGAAATGGCACGGCCGATCGATAGGCTAATGCGATCGTTCACGGTCGATCGTGTTGTTCGAGCTCATGTTGACAGCAGCAGTTAAAGAAATCATTTAACTGCCGCAAGGCTCTGCTGAAACGGCTCTGACAGTGGGATGAAAGGAATAACACCCCAGTGATTAAGGAACAGGGGAAACGGTTTGTGATATTGCCACACCACCTTCAATTAGGGAAATTCAATAAGGCTGATAGTTTTCAGCTTTTTGATGTTCCAACCTCACGCCAGTCCTGGTTTCCGGCCTTCTCTGCACTACGTTCGCAATCAGGTCTGAAGTGTGTGGGCTACATTTTTCACCAATTTATGGTAAATGTCAGGTTTCTGTGTACAAACTATATACCATATGTCTTTATGTGTGGTTGGGGGAAAAATGTAGACGAATCATTTCCTCATCACAAGAAGGCTGAGGGTGATGTGATGTGGTGTGGTGTGGTGTGAAACAAAATCTGTGCAATATAGAAAGTCTATACAACAATGTTCTCTATTTTACCCTGAAAATATATAAAGTCAAGCCTGAAATGATTTATACCCCTGGCAAATTCTGACTTGTAATTTAACATTTTTTTTACATTGATACCTCTTGTGCATCATCTTTTGGGGGAAGTCTGTGTCCTTTCTGGTATAAAAAAACTTGCTGGTTGAATAAAAAGTAACTTTAACTTGCTGGCAGCTAGCTTTCTGCGAGTCTCACATGGTCGCATACTGAAAACAAGTAAAGCTGCGCCCTATCTTGCATGGGAGAGCACATGGGAAAGCTAGGTTGCTACTGTAAGTGAGACCAACAGAGTTGCCTTTTGGGTACTACCACTGGTGCTTTTGGTGCAGAATGTTTCGTCAATATTGTATACAGTACAACAGTTCAGAGTCACACTGCTAGCAATCAAAGATTTATGTAAATTTGGCCAGCTGAATGCTTTCTGTACTGTACAGGAGACACTGCACGGAGGAGGTTGATTAACAGTGGTTTACAGCCAATCAGGACACAGAACACAATGCACTGTAGAAAAAAAGCCAAGTGAATGTCAAATTGCACAAAAAAAATCTAAGAAACTGGGAGGCCAAGAAAGGTGAACTGAGTTATTGTGAGATTCCAACCTATAGAACAGGGGTGTCCAAAGGACAAGGTCCCTTTAAGGCAAGTCATTTCACTCTGCGGCCATCTTTAAAACGTCTCTCGGGCATTAACCTTGGGCAATCTGTTTGAATGGGGAAACATCAACTTGCTAAGCTTATGATTACATTTCATTTTAAGACTAATCAATGAAATTAAACAACAACTGTCTTTTTAGTTTCATTTCTAAATGTTCATATCAAACAAAATCTGCAGAAACTCATTTCTGGTCCGAGCCCCTCCCCCGGAGAATTGTCATTCTATAGCAATCGCTGATTGGCTACTGTACTAGAAGGTGGGCTTTATTTGCCATATTGACAGTTACACTTTTCCTTTTTCAAAAGTATACGAGTGACATGTCTTATGTATTCTGCAAGCTGTCTCATTTCAGAGTTGAGTCCTTCGAAGTCCACACAGGCTGAACCGAGCGTTTTGAAATGAGATGATCTAGCCTACAGAGGACAGATTTCGTCACGTTAATGAGCGCTGATAAGATTTGTAAAAACTTTTTTTTTCAAAGTTATTTTAAAACTTATTTTAAGCGATCTGAAGGCAAAACAAGGTATACAGAAGCTGGAAATATATTTCCTTTGATCTATACATGTACACATACAAATTTAAACTGTCAATAAAATCAATCTTTAGCATGACATGTCATACTCTTTTAGTTTTTAACATGTGTTTAGATATCCAAGTATGAATAAACTTAATTCATACATTTAAATCTGAGTTTTCTATTAAAAACGCCCTGCCATTGTCAGCGTGCAATGAATCTTGGAACATTCGAGGCCGCGAAGAATCCACCGATTGTGTTATCTGTAATTTCCCATTATCTGGGAAACGGGGGATGCATTTTGAGGCTGTGTTTGAAGGAGACTTCGAATTTTTTTTAAATGAGACAGCCTTAGTCGCACTGCGATGATGTAACGCACTTCGAATACATCCCTCGGAGGATGCAGCCTCTGAAATGAGACACAGCTATAGTCTTTGTGAAGGGCTGGTGTGGTGAAAAATCAAGTACCCCCTGCAATCTAGTCCGCTTAGAACTCCAATGGATCGTCTGCATTGAATGCCTGATCAAAAGCTATTCTACTTTTCCACAGTGCATTTATAATCACATCTGGTGCTTTTTATAGTCTATTCTCAGTCTTGAAATTTTAACAAAACTAACCATATCAGTACCATTATTATGAGTAACTAACTACAAGTTAAAGACATGCATAGTTAAAATAATTGAAGCGTTTGTAATGATGTCTTTTTGATGTATTTATGTGTAACATTATTTATTTACATAAGAATTGGTAGCATAAATGAGAAATTCTCCATGCCACAACACATGCCTTTAGTTGTACATCACTATAAGAATTATATCACTTAAAATAGTTTTATGCCATTATAACGCTCTTTTCAATTTTATGAATTTAAAGATTTCACTGCTTTTATATATATTTTTATGCAACAAACTATTCCTATTGCAACTCCAGTGAACCATTAGGATTACCCAGGGTCCTAGGCAGACCTAATTGTCAGGGGGGACTTGATTTCTCATGACACTGGTGTCCTGCTGAGTTTAGCTCCAACTTGCCTTAACACACCTGCCAGGAAGCTTCTAGTATATTTAGTAAGAGCTTGTTTAGCTAGTTTAGGTGTGTTTGATTAGGGTTAGAGCTAAACTCTCCAGGACACCGGCCCTCCTGAGTTTGGATTCAATAGAACAATACCCATAATTTCCTTCATAATTCAGATGTTTATTTATTTGGTACTGCCGTAGTGACCTTAACAAGAAATGGCCCATCCAGGGATGTAATTGAGATGCTTTATTATTGATAAAAGTATGAGAATATTAACATTTACAGTGCTTCTTCTGTATGTTTTTTTCCTTTCTCAAGACTTCCTCTTGTTTAATTTTATAGAAAGTGTTTATGAATGGCATTGTGAAAGAATAACATTGTTATAAACCATGCAGAGCTGTACTGTTGTTGTTTTAAATACTCTCTATTATTTATTCAGACTCAAGAAAAGATGAGGGTCAGCGAAATGCATGATATTTTATAAAGCATTGTGGTGGGTCGACTAGTTCGGACTGTTACTCTATCTCAGTTTGTGATATTTAAAACTTGGCTCCAATCAATAGCAATGTCTCTGGTTTGCAGCTATTGTGTGCGCCCAAGGACATTTTCCTGTAAAGAGGACGCTAAGGAGCTTACATTAAGAGACCTTTATTGTGAAACGGTATGGTCGTTACTGGCTCCTTTGTCTTCCACCAGCAACATGATCCTGCTCGGAGTCAATGCGGTTTTGGGCTTTCAGCGGCTGTCTGAACTCTACATACAGGAGTCGAGCTTTGAATCAAGTCACTGTGCTGCTCGCATTAAAAAAGGGTTTCCTCTTCAGAAATGTCAGGCCTCGCTAGTGTCACAGTAATGACAGTTTCTTTAGTCAGTGAAAGTTTTATGTGTCAATGAAAACGTCTTAGACAGTTCTATAGCGGCACACGTTTAACCGTTCAGCGGGGCACTTTGCAGTTAGTTTGCTCTGTGGTGTAGTGGTTTACAACTTAATGTTGCTAGTTCAATTTGCCGAAGCGAGTCACCATGAGCTATCAACATGTTCCCTAGAGCAAGGCACTTAACCTCAGTAAATCCAAGTGAACTCTTTTGAATTAAAAATAAATAAATAAACGGTTGCTTATGTTTTCCTGTTTATGGTACATGTTCATAAAGATTAGGATCTCCCATCAAAACATTAAAAAAACGCATTTTAGCATATTTCGGCCAGGATTAAGCTATGAAATTGAATTTATTTCACAACAAACGCAATAAGGTCAGTCTGTAAGTTTATACTTTAAATGCATTTTAGCTCCACACAGTGCATTTCTGTTCATTTGTCAGTAATCACCAATGATTTGCCAAAATCCCAATCGTTTGGTACAAAGACATAAAGAGTGTTAGCAATGCTAGTAATCATGTCACTTTGTGTAAACGTCTATGTTTTTGTCTTGCTTTATTGTAGCTAGCTATGGAGCTTACCCCATCTGTAAAGGCTGCTCGGTGTGTTCCAAGGACAACGGGTGCATGAACTGTCAGCCCAAGCTCTTCCTGTTCCTGAGGAGGGAGAGGATGAGGCAGTACGGCGAATGTCTTCACGCCTGTCCGTCAGGCTACTACGGCATGCGAGGGACAGAGATCAACATGTGCTCCAGTAAGATCCTACAGTATTTTTTCACACACTTACACTATATTGTAGCACTACTGTATGGTTGTTAATGCATTGACACATCTTTTTAACTTGGACTATGGAATATGTTTTTACCTGGTCAGAGGTCACTTATTGTGAATACTTCAAGAGAAGTAAATCTGCCTTGCATTTGAAGTACAAAATGCTTCTAACTTGTAAATTTGTTATGAGTGTAATAGTTTTGCATAGACTAAGCTGACGACAAATTATTGAGTATTTATTCCAGTGTTTCTCAACTATGTTCCTGGAGGACTACTAGCTCCACATTTTCTATGGTTGCGTGCAAAATCACATTTTTCCATACTATATAGTATGCCAAAATCAGTATGCGAGCCGAGTAGTTTGCCCGAAATCATATATTCAAAAAACAGTATGCGAGAAGTACCCGGATGACCCACGTTCGGTGAGATTCTGAAGTGTGCATTTGATGGACGCCAAGCTATGCCATGATGTTCCGCGAGAGGATTCATAAATGGGAGTGAAGCGACGCAACTCTTGTGGGTAGGTCACGTGATTATAAAAAAAATGGTGGATGTAGTATGTCCGAGTTCCATTTATACTACTTACATTCATACTGCATAGAACCCACAGGCCAAAGTAACCTTTGATTTGGTTCACCATCCCATCTGAGAATGGCTTAGACATTGTCTTTTTTAAAATTTAATGTAAGCTTATATTTGTTTGTTTTATTGTTAAGCTACAAAAATGCTATCTGAACTTAAATGTTTCAATGTAAACGGTGTAAATATATCAGACTTAGTTTAAAATGTACATACGACGGATAGAGGATACTGCAGAGACTTTGATGAGTAAATTAAGGCAAAGGCAGATTCTGCTTCACTAGTGTATTCAGCATTACACTCCACTGTGTTATAAATGGGATTGTTTATGTTTACATTGCAAAGTTCTAATTGAAAACGTTATGCTGCATTAGGAATATGCTGATGTTATACTGAATTAGGAAATTAACCATAGCAATTGTAATGTAAAAATATTTGGTATATTTATATTTGGCCCATGGCTATCAGTGATAATTTGTTTTTTAGCCCTTCATATGAAAAAACTGGGCACCCCTGGTATAGAACATACTTTTCTATCGGGCGAGTAGTACATTTAAATTCAAATGCAATTCTTACTGAGAAGTAGGCGGCTGCGTCCGAAACCGCATACTTCCATACTATATAGTTCGCGAAAATCAGCATGCGAGCTGAGAGTAGTATGTCCAAATTCATAGAATTCAAAAATCAGTATGCGAGAAGTACCCGGATGACTTACTACTTCCGGCGAGATTCTGAAATGTGCATCCCATGCACACTGCACTATCCCATGATGCTGGTGCAAGTAGGTCCCGTGACCATGACAAAATGGCGGATGTAGTACTTCTGAATTCCATTAATACTTTTCACATTCATACTGTATAGAACGTACTTTTCTAACAGCTGAGTAGTATGTTTAAATTCAAGTAGTAGGCGGTTTCGGACGCAGCCAGCAATTTTGGACGCAGCCCATGTCTCCTTAAGCAAACACACCTGATTCAGATCATTAGCTCATTAGCAGAGACTGAAAGAAATCCATTTCGGACGCAGCCCATGGCAAGGTACTGCATTTGAATTTAAACGTACTACTCGGCCGTTAGAAAAGTAGTATTCTATGAATTCGGACATACTACTCGGCCCGCATACTGATTTTGGCGTACTATATAGTATGGAAGTATGCGGTTTCCATGTCTCCTTAAGCAAAAACACCTGATTTAGATCATCAGCTCATTAGCAGAGAATGAAAGACCTGTTATGGGTGTGGCAGACAAAGGAGACATCCAAAACATGCAGTGCTGTTGAACATGGTTGAGAAACACTGATTTAGTCTATAATAGAGCTGGGAGTATATATAAGGTCTTTTAAATAGCTTCGTAGATATAATTAACTATCTAAATTAATTATCAGATCCTTTGACAGATAAATGTGCTAATAGATCTGCTATTTGCACTGTTTAATGCATTTAGAATCTGTGGTGCTTGCAGTGCTCAGCTTACATTTTACAGATATATTCTGCATCCTAAGTTGCTTTGTGAACCATTTATACATTTTTATACATTTTACTAAGAATACTATCTAATCAGACTTTATTCAAAGAGCCCCTATTTCGCAGTATAAAAGGTCATATTTTGGTTTTGGGTGTCTCTAATAGCAGCCTGATATGCATGCCAAGTCAAAAAACACATTCATTGTCTTATAATATGCATTTATTTTTTACCTATTATCTCAACGACTTCTATATGATTTGTTCAGTGATGGATTTTTTTTCCCAAACCCCTCCTTTGCATGAGGCTAATCTGTGCTGATTGGTCTGATGACCCAGTCTATAGTGATTGGTTGACTGCGTTCAGGGCGAGATGGAGAGAAATGCAAAAGAAGCAGTCAGCACAGAGTATATGTGAGATCCCAATGTAGGAATGTAATAAAGGCAAAAGTTTAACTATTTTGAAAATTAACCGCGCCACTCATGTAAGGAACAGCTGATGGTTGCCATAGCAACAAACAGCAGGAGATTGCATGCACAAAATGCATTTAAATCAGTAAAGGGAGAAGCAAGCGTCACATTTTAATTGTGGTTTTGGAGGTGATATTTGAAATAACCCTTAAAGATTTAACCTGAGAGATACATTACAAGCAATGCTCTATAACTGATATGTAATTACAAGCCGTGCGGAGCCATTACAAGTTACAACACACAATTAAATACATATTTTGCGAACTACAGAAAACGAGGCAACCATTTTACTTTCAAAATTTTAACTTCAAGTTGTGTAGGAAGGAGAAACACTTACAGGATCTGAAGGAAGAAGAAACTGGTCCACGCAAACTGTGTAACAGTTACTGCCAATATCTTGTACATTAATAGTCTTTGCTGATATTTCCTTTATTAACGATTGACCGGCGAATCCCGCGCTGCAGATTTAGTTATCGTATTAATCATTAGAAAATGACAGGAACAAACACAGCACACGGTTGGCTATACTGTGGTGCTGTTGTGAAATTGAACTTTAACTATTTATTCCCCACATCCACATGTCTGGCCATCTTTTAGTGATAGTAATCTTTACGTCATGGTCAATCCCTCGCACTCCACTAGTGTAGGAAGGGAAAGGCGCGTTCACGTTTTACCGGATCGGATAATTCATATTTGGTATTGTTTTGTGTCAACATTGATACGAACAGGCAAAAGATCCGTACGAACAATGAACAGAAAGTTGAATATTTTATTTAAAAATCTATATTTTTAAACAAGGTGCATATTCAGATTTATCCCTCAGCTGTATGTTTTCATTCACTTAGAGCTGTGCTGCGCACTACATGGTCATTTACAAAAACCCATAATAGGGGCTCTTTAAATGCATGCATTAGATATGCATTAAAGTCTCAGGATTCCTAAATTGTGGCATTTGTGATGGGATTTACTAAAAAAAGAAGTACAGGATGTTCAATTCTTTAATTGACTAGTCAGCTGTTGGCCAGAAACAGGAGCAAAGCAGAAAAATAAAATATGTTTGTATTATATTATATTACTTTTATTTGTCTGCAAAGAGCAATATAATAGTCATACCGGAATTGCATATCCTTCTCCTGCCATGCCCTGTATTTTATAACCTTATTTTAACATTTGCGCCAGGCCTGAGACACTCCGAACCTTTGAGGTTAAGTGAAAAGCCTGAGGTGTTGGCTTCATGCTTCGCGTGAAAACAAAACTCTAACTCTTCAGATTGTTTGAGCCAAACTCCTGACAGACAGACTTGAAACCTCAGAGGAGTGTGTCAGGACCTACAATGCTAATAAACCCAGATACAGTACAGACACCCCTGTGTAAAAACATGTCCCTTCTCACTTTGCAAACCTGATACAGATTTATCTGCCAATGTTTATCAGATGAGGACAAGAGGGAACGCCTAAAATACCTCATTTACCATAAACTTGATTGAGGTTACTTTATAGAGATTGCCAGTTCTTGACCAGCAATCCAACAAGTTGGGTTGGAGAGATGGAAAAGATGTTGTTCTTTAAGACTGTGTCCTCCAACCATTCGCTGTCCCAGTTGAAATTTGATTTTAAATGGTACTGATATGTGGCAAGTTAATCTGGATTCCTTTCGTGGAGAACTTCTCCCAGAACAAAACCTCACATTGTCACGTAGCATCAAATCTCAGCGCAAAGCCTACTTTGATGTGATCGCCATTTCAGTCATGACTTCGTAATCCAGCTTCGCATTTGACCCTCCTACTTAAGTTATGCTTTCTCTGTCATTTTTGCTAAGCTGCTCATGTCTGTCAGTCATAATGAGATGTTCTATCAGGGTTACTGTGAAAACTAATCACTGGGAACACTCAGAAGCCGATAGAAGTCGAGTTTTTAGAGCAAATACGTTCTTCCAAGAGCCTAGAATTGTGGATTACATTGAAGTTGATCGTGTTTTTAAAAACAGGCTCTGAAATCACTTAAGGAGCAGCTGCTTATCATTATACTTGAGTGTGTGTGTGTGTGATCCTATCTTGTTTAAGAATGCTTTGCAGAATTGCCGGGCCTGAGCGAAAACAAAGGCAAAGAGGAGACAGGTTTGCACTACATCAGTACAGACTCTTCCGCTGGAGCCGTGGGGTGGGGTGGAGCGCTTTTCAAATCCACACATCCAGATTGAACACTCTGACCTACCTCTGGCGAACATCATATGCGTGACCCAAGCCTCTCGAATGAGCAGAAGGAAAGCTGGACTTGTTTTCTGATTCTGTGGGAAGATGAGTTTGATGTTTGGGACTTTGTTTGAACTTTGTGTTGCTAAGCTACAAGTTATAGTAGTTTAGATGTATAAACTATTAATTTGGGGGGCGACATGGTGGCTCGGTGGTTAGCACTGTCGCCTTACAGCAAGGAGGTCGCTGGTTTGAGTCCCGGCAGAGTCAGTTGGCATTTATG